CCCCTCCCTCTCCCCCTCCCACTCCCCCTCCCCCTCCCCTTCCGCGTCCCTCTCCTCCCTGCTCACTGCAATCAACGGCATCGGCTCGACAACTGACTGTTGATTTCCTTTTGCTTTTTTTGTTTCTTTTTTTTTTTTGTTTCCCTTTTGAATTACGTACATATACAGGCAGACGATAAAGACGCAGGGGCCAAGTCCCACCTCAACGCCTGAATGTGGACGCGTTTGCGGAGATGTGCAGAAATGGTGTTGAGTTTCCTGAACTACACATCTCCACAAACACGTCCAGCTTCAGGCGTTGAGGTAGCTCAACGCTGCTACTGGGACTTGGCCCCAGGCGTTCGAAAGCCGCATGCATGCGTTCGAAAGCCGCCGGCGTTCGAAATAAATAAATAAGAAAAAGTGCAGGCGTTCGACAGCCGCATGCGCTAAAAAAAAAACAAAAGAATTACGGGGACAGAACGCGCAGGCGTTGTATTCGGACATAACGGGCGGACTACCTTCTTCACCCGAATACAACGTACGTTCATTATCGCTGTATTTACTATTTAGACTGTAAGATGCCCCAAATACAGCTATAAGGACGGCACGTTGTATTCGGCGGCAGAAGCCAGAAGGTAGCAGCATTGCAGAGGAGCAGGAGAGAAGAGGAGCAAGAGGAGGAGGAGGAGGAGGAGCAAGAGGAGGAAGAAGAGGAGGAGGGGGAGGAAGAGGGGGAGGAGGAAAAAGAAGAGCAAGAGGAGGAGGAGCAAGAGGCAGAGAAGAGCGAGAGGAGGAGAAGAAAGAGAAGGAAGAAGAGGAAGAGGAGGCAGAAGAGGAGGAAGAGGACGAGGAGGAGGAAGAAGAGGAGGAAGAGGAGGAGGAAGAAGAGGAGTGTGTCACCTTCTCTCTCCCGTCTTTTTCTCTTAGGACATGTATGTTGATGACGTCACAGCTTTCATACAGTAGTACGAGCGCAAGCGCAGGATCGCCGGGGCAACCAGGAGTACCGAAACGCACAAGGTTGATTCGTCGGGAACGGCTCACGTCAGATGGCGACACGCGGCCCGGCGAATGCGATCCCGACAAGCCAATCAACCAGGGAGATGGCGAGCGTCTGCTGACATGTGCGGCGAACGCGTGCGCTGACGTGGCCGATTGTTGCCACGTGTCTCGTCCGGGTCAGCTTCAACGAGGCGATCAGAGAGATGTGGTGCGAGGGAGGAGAGTCCGAGAGGGGTGTTTTCACCAGAATAGCCTCCCCCTTCCCGCGAAAACAATCCACGTGGATGCGGAATGAATACAAGATAGTTTTCCGGCCAAATACGGTTCGGTCCCGACGAGCTCCTGTCGTTGTGCTTGGAGGACGACGGTAGGGAGAGGGAGACGGAGAGGAGAGGGAGAGGAGAGTGGAAGAGGCAGGCAGCTAGCGCAAGTTGTCCTTCGGCGGGTGCTCGCAAACATAGGGCGCTGAACAATCGTGCTTCCACAATTCCACAGGCGTTAAAATTCTCTTTGTAACCACGGAGACAGGAGGAAGAAGAAGAAGAAGAAGAAGAAGAAGAAGAAGAAGGAATAAAATAAAATAAATAAAAAAAACAGAAAAAGAATAAAAAGAAAAGAAACGAGAGTGAGCGCAGATTTGCATGGCCCCTATCATTACTGAAGGAATGTAATGACTCGAACGAGGCAAGATACAGTTTGCAATTGGCAATTGCATTTGGGGCACCCTACACCTGGCCAGAAAGCTGGGTTGTATACATTACCTGAACTGCAATTCGAAACAGTATCTTGCTTGACCCATAGTGCAGTTATTTACCTCATTTTTGTGACTCCCGCGTAGTTTCCAAACAGCGGGGACTGTTGTGATCAGTTTTTTTTTTTTTTTTTTTTTTTTAATCCAGAGGCCTTGAGATATGGTCATTGAGCTGACCGGCCCCATGTAATTCAGAAATATTGTCTCATTCATCTTATTTTATCATCATGTGGATTCGAACTCGGGTCCGCAATTCAACGGTTCTTGGGTGTACCGACTGAGCTACACTCTTCCCCCGAATACAACGTACGGTCTATATAGCTGAATTTAGACTGAAAGATCCACCAAATTCAGCTATAATGACCATACGTTGTACTCGGGGCAAGACTGCAGGCTCGCTGGTTTGTGAGCAGTTTAGGCTTGTGCTCGACTGGGGCGAGGTGCCACTAACACCAAACATGGATTGGATTGAACGACTGAATCTAAGGCGTGTTCCTGGAAAAGTGCAGAAATTCGAGATAGAACAGCTTTTCTGCATCTCTGCTTAAAGCACGTCCAGATTCAGGAGCTAAATCCAATCCCCTTTGCTAATGGGACCATGCTCCTGCCGGTTCTTCGAGGAATTCCTGAAGAATTGCGGGCTCCACTGGCGTTTCTACATTTTTTCTTTCCTTTGGGGATTCTGCCCAAGTTCACGGACGGACGATTCAGCACATCTCGAGGAAACTCAAAGCAGCAGCTTTTTTCTTTTTTTTTTTTTCCTAAAAGGGCCCAGTGCCCAAGGCTTATATTACTCATGAATATGTTGAGGCCGGGGTCCTCACAGTCTACCCGGGGCCAAGTCCCACTTGACCGGATTCTTCATTTCTGGCCGTTGATTTTCATGATCTACGGTCGGGAATGGAGGATCCGGGTAAGTGGGACTCGGCCCCCGGGGTGACAAAATCGGAATACCTGCTGAGAACCGGGCTCAGCGTCCCTCATGTGGGGGCCAAGTCCCATTACTGCGTAGTCCGTGTTGTTGAGTTCTGGGGACTCGTCCCATCATTAGCAAAGAGGATTGGATTTAACTGCCGAATCTGGACTTGGTTGTGGACAGATGCAGAAAACTGCTATTGATCTTCTTGTCTGAACCTCT